GTATTAAAGTTGACTTTAATACTCGTATAATGCAATGTCACAAATAATTATCCTTTTATACAAGAAATTTATGACGAAAATTGCCTTTGATACAAAATTATTATAAAGAAAATGCCACCCCTCTCTCTACGAGATTGTCAAAAAAATTATTCAACAAAAAATCCATTTAATTACCTTAAACAGGATTTTCAACAAAGGAAAATTGGTAACCAAGAGGAAGCGTATTATTTCCCAACTGTGTTTCCATTTAATTCCACTTCTTCTCTGTAGGCAAATACGCGCAGTTTTTCTTATAAATTCTTATTTAACCTAAGTCTCGCATTCCGTTAATCCTTCTGCAAACGCTGTTAAAACTGAGCACAAATACGTATAATAGTATTCTTCGTTGTTACTCTATTATTTCGAATGCCTTTATTGTGATGAGGTATGGCGGCCATTAGATACTCACTGAATAATATACTATTTTTGCTTTCTCGGTGAACAATCCTAAAGGAAAAAAGCTTGAAGTAGACTTCACGAGTTCATCTAAAAACCACTACATTTCCACTCCACTCCAGGATAGGCAATCTATTGTCGGAGAGGGTACTATTTTGTTCGTGACAAATTCTCTGTGATGTTAATCTTACGTGCCTAATAACGTTCACTAGAAAATTTTGCATGCAGCCGTCGTCCGTATGACCCACGAGGTAGAATCGATAACAATTTTTGTCTCTTGCTTGTCACATCAAATATTCAGCAACTCGATGGTAAGGTAATCGGAAACCCTTAGAATCACGCCAGAGAGAAATAAATAATGAAATGCAAAGGTGAAAAAATTGTAAATCGGTAAATACAGCCCATAAAAATGCGGTTTTATGTGTTGAAGAACGTTCTCTTTCCCCAGCACGTAACATTATTAGTGTCACTGAGTACGATTGATATCGCTAAAGATGGCATTCTGCCGGTTTTATACGCGTGTATTTGATGGAGTTGTTTAGCATTTTATCTAAATTCGATCACCTTTTTTGTTTCCAATCGAAATGTTATTTTAAAGACGCCGACTTTTAAAGTACCATATAAGGGCATTTTATTACCAGCTTAGAGATTTGTAAAGTAATGGATCTATAAACATCTCTAATAGATACTAGGAAAAGTTCAATTTTCATTAAGGCCAATACTTTTTTCTGGATAAAAATTGCTATTAAATGAGAGGAACATTTTAATCGTTGCATGTACCTTCAAATTTAGTTCTATAGCAAGCACTTCGGTGCTGTATAAGACGTAGGTATCTGAAAGCAATAATTGTTAAAAAAAGTTTCTTTTTGTCAGTTTTTTTATTTAGTTAGTTTTAGAGCAAAAATTTTGTTTACGGCTTTATGAAAATCTGCCTTTTGAAAAGAGTTTCTCTTTATTGTCCCGACCAATGTTTGTTCTTATTATACTAAGTTATATGGGTAGCTTTTCAGAAAGCCGACTGAGGCAGGAAAACTGTGTTTATCTGGTAGTTTTCCGTAATTTCACCTCATTCTGGTGATTTCGTTTATATTATTGACTACCCGACTGCCTTTTTTTCAGTGCAACTTTTACGGTAGTTTATCGTCTGTTTTGAACGGTGCTTGGCTGAATTGTTCTCGTCTTATTTTATACGATGGATAGGAAAATAAGCGTCTCATTTTGTTCTTTGTGGTACACTAATAAAGAATTTTGACGAACGGAATTACTTTTCATCAAATATTGTACGCTCTCACCGCCCCCCCTAACGAAAGCGTTCATAACACCGGCGGTCTACAGCATTTTTGCGCATGGGACATAATACCTATACCTTATTTCTGTTCCTTGTATAGCCACAAATAAGAATTAGAACAAAAAAAAGGTTATGTATTTGTTTTTGTGCGAAAAAAATGAAAAAAACCAAAAAATAAAACTACCTATAAAATCTTACTTACATACGCATGGTTTATTATAAGGTAACGTTCCTACATTTATATTCTGTTTGTCTTAAAGTCTAAATGTTTAAAAATGGAACAGTTTTACAGTTTTTGTCATGTTCAACTGAAGTTTTTCTCATCAACCCCCCAAATATGATCTTCCATCATGCTTCCAGGCTTACTGGCCTTGGTAACGTACATAAATTCCATTATGTCTTGATGAAAGGGTTGTCCTTGTTATTCCGAAAAAGCTCCCATATTATCCTTAAATTAATCTAAATGAGAATGTAACCTGTGCATCTTTAGAGACATGCTATACCCGATGATACAAAACCAAAACCCCTCCGCTCGTCATAATCTTTAGCTCTATGGTTTCCCAGGAAACACTGAACGGGAAACCATGGACTATTGCCTTAAAACTGTTTCACGATTTTTTTTCCTCTTTGCTAAGTAACCGCGGGAAAATATCACCCTCCATTTTTCTTTTTATTTGAGGGAAAACAAAGATTCCTATCATGGGCGCCGCCATGATGTGCACATTTTAGTTATTTTCTAGGGGAATTTTCTCGAATTTTTGGTCGAAATTCTGACAGCGCCAATCGATAGCGCTGGTCGATACCTTTCCAACGAGGGGTCGGAAGGCATATCTACGACGCACCGTTCTCGAGATATTAAGGTTTGTCAGAAGGTCTCGAGCGGCGCTATCGATTGGCGCTGTCAGAATTTCGACTAAAACACCAATTTCTACTTTTGATCTTGGAACTGTTTGAAATTATGGATTCTACAGGCCACATTCTATAAGAAAAAATTTTTTCCGGGTCGATCTGAGACAGTTTTTTTTTAGGGCCTCAAAAAAAGGCAGTGTACAACCTTCCTTTTTTACCAAAAATCGACTGCACCAAAATTTCTCGGGAAAACTCTTTTTCTTATTAATTTTGGTGCGTAGAATCCAAAACAATTCGTACTTTTTCGATCAGACTTCTCAATCAAAAGTTATAGACTAGAAACCAATTTCGAAAGAAAATTCAAAGGGCTGTAACTTTTGAACTAGTAGCCCAATCTTGGAACTGTTTGAAATTATGGATTCTACAGGCCACATTCTATAAGAAAAATTTTTTTCCGGGTCGATCTGAGACAATTTTTTTTTCGAGGGCCTCAAAAAAAGGCAGTGTATAACCTTCCTTTTTTACCAAAAATCGACTGCACCAAAATTTCTCGGGAAAACACTTTTTCTTATTAATTTTGGTGCGTAGAATCCAAAACAATTCGTACTTTTTCGATCAGACTTCTCAATCAAAAGTTATAGACTAGAAACCATTTTCGAAAGAAAATTCAAAGGGCTGTAACTTTTGAACTAGTAGCCCAATCATGGAACTGTTTGAAATTATGGATTCTACAGGCCACATTCTATAAGAAAAATTTTTTTCCGGGTCGATCTGAGATAATTTTTTTGGGGGCCTCAAAAAAAGGCAGTGCGACCTTCCTTTTTTACCAAATATCAACTGCACCAAAATTTCTCGGGAAAACACTTTTTCTTATTAATTTTGGTGCGTAGAATCCAAAACAATTCGTACTTTTTCGATCAGACTTCTCAATCAAAAGTTATAGACTAGAAAAGAAACCAATTTCGAAAGAAAATTCAAAGGGCTGTAACTTTTGAACTAGTAGCCCAATCTTGGAACTGTTTGAAATTATGGATTCTACAGGCCACATTCTATAAGAAAATATTTTTTTCCGGGTCGATCTGAGACAATTTTTTTTTAGGGCCTCAAAATGTGTCGTTCAAATAACGATGTGATTGTGAAATTTTCTGTTTAAATAATAAATTTTCAGAAGATTTTATATCAAAATGCAGTAATAGAAGCAGGTATAGGCGGTTGGGTCTTCATTCAAATATTGACTACAATTTTTCGATAAACTTTTTTTACAACATTGTGGAAATTGACTATTGCATTTGTGGGATGCATTTGTATGACACATTAAACAGGGAAAAATATTTCGTTGGCGAGTTGTCGCAGTGGCGAGTCGTCTGTTGGCGAGTTGTCGCGGTGGCGAGTTGTCCCGTTGGCGAGTTGTCGCGTTGGCGAGTTGTCCCATTGGCTAGTCGGTCGGTGGCGAGTTGACCGTGTCCCTAAATGAATCTCCCTCATATTTACCTAAGCATTTCATGGTTAATAATGTAAACGAAGCAGTTGATAAGGGGTGTAGCTCCTTGTAAACCCCTTGTCAAAAACAATTAAACAATGAATTATGGGAGAGGTTTATAGTATTTTACATTATTAGCCAGGTAAGTGAGTTTTTACTGGCGATAGGAGAAGTTGACTAGCGAGCCGTTAGGCGAGCTTGTCATCTCCTAGAGCCAGTAAAAACTATTACCTGGCGTATAATGTACAATATTTTATTTGTTACTCATTTGTAAACAATAGTAAACGTAAATAATTAGTTTTTAAATTGATCTTGAAGAAATGTCTAAAATATCATGTTATCCATGTAACAGAGACTTCGCATTAATTCTGGCCAATGAAATTACTAGATTACTAACTTGTAAAATTTTTACAGGTCTGCTGTCAGTTTTACAAGTCTGCTGTCAGTTTTACAAGTCAGTAGCGTTTAAACATGACGTTTACCCGTTTGCGTTTTGTCTTGTTAATCAACGTTTACAACTGAGTAACAAATAAAAGTTTTATTCAACCCTGTTAACTTAATTAATTTGCTTTAAATCTATTATATTGAGAAAATTTGATGTGAAGTGCTGATCAATTCATCTGATTTTTAAATTTCCTTAGACAACTTTAACGGAAAACGCCGAAAGATGGTGAGAAGAAATCGAAGCCTTGTTTCTGTGTCCTTTTCCCACCTCTCTTCGAAAATGCAGTTGCGTCTTAAAACCATCTGAACGAATTCACAAAATTGCTCGTGGCTCCAAGCTCCAACATATTCATCTTCACCACATCCACTTCTACACCAGACAACACCTGCACATCACTTTGTTTGGAGACCTGGCTGCATGTCCACCATACATTCCAAGTTATTTCCAATTAAAGGAAATTTGTCCTCAATAAATTGGAGTGAATTTCAGTAACAACTAGAATGGAAAACTTATAAAACCACATTTCGCTTTATTGACCAAGATAGTTCTATTACAAAATAGACATTTCCTCATATTAAGAATACGATAGATTTTCAAAATGTTACATATTAATATTTATAACAATAAAAGCAATAGTTGGTTCTTGTGCCACATTAAAGTATGCATACTTAAAAAATTGCTTCCATTGACAATCACAATTTTAGAACCTCCTAAAGACTCCTACGAGATTACACTGATGCACCGTGCTTTACGTAATAGCAGTGAAAATCATTTACTTACATAAATTTTAGTACATCTACACGACAGCTGCTAGTTATGTACATGGCAATAGAAGAACCATCAAACGCACTGTAAAGATTAAAAGCGATTCTTGTCCATTTTATTGCAATTGTGTAAAATCACATTTTTCTGCCTAATTTACATCGCAAGTAGGTAATGCGAAAATGTATGATAAAAATTCGACCTACAAATGCCGGAACAGCCAACTTGTACCATATTTGAGCTGATGTTTTAGCAAAATGTCGAGAAAAAGGGAGGACAAAGGTTATTTCGAAATGTTGAATGTGGATGCTGCGAAAGCTCTATCTGTAGATGCATTTTTAATGAGTATAATCCACGGGTCGAGTCCGGCGCGGCGGTTCGATTGATTCACAAACCAATTCCACCGCTGGTAAGTCCCTAGTTGATCCAAAAATCCCTAATCATAACACCCGTAGCAAGAATTGGCGCAAGAATTTCTCTAACATTGCTAAATTAATCACAATATGTGCAACAACCGTTTCCTGCTATCCTAAAAACACGTGCATTTGTTCACGATTAAAACCTGTACTAGTGAGCAGTGATTGCGCTAAGTGCGAAAATTGTGTTGGTCCACAAATACATGCAAAAATATCACTTTCTTTATACACAGTATTTAATAAATGTTTGTCAATACTATCGCGAAGAAGGTTATTACTGATTTTCCCTTTGTGTCCTGTCCAGTTTGAGTCTGCTTGTGAAAGAATGTGTTCCACTCGAAACCTGCAGACACAAAACAAATTCAATCGGAACGCGCCCATCGCCATCACATTTTTTATTTAGCTTTCATGGGGTATACTTACCTACTATCTTCATTGTGAAGGGTTTCTAACTGATCTTTCAGTAATATATCCTTTTCTGTCTTGTTGAAGAATAAAAGTGTCACATTTTTGCTGTAACAAAATGAAGGGGAGTTATTCAAAGGCGAATTATTATTCCTAATATCGTACGGGAAACTCTTGTGCAGATAAACCGCATTTTTTTAACCGAAACAGCTTTTGTTTTGACATCACCAATGGATATATTTCTTTCAGACGTCTCAATCGCCCTTTGTGAGTACTGTCTTCCGACAATCCGTTCTTGAAGTATAAGGGAATATACCCGATCACATCAAGAGGTCAAGGAGAAGAGCTATGGTTGGTAGAAATTAATTCCTTTTGATAGACAAAACATAGCAACCTATATATTGTACACTGGGTACAGAGTTAGCAATTTGTTTCTACCTACGTTTCATACCTACGTTAATTACAAAATAAAGGAAAATTTCAAACTGTTTACCAAAAATTTGAATGTTTTCAAAAAAATTAACTGTGGCTAGCACAAATACCACCCGCCCACCTGCGCATGCGCGATTCTGCCATTTTATGCCTAAGAATATGCGAGTACAGACGGACCAACAGACAGACAGACCCGACCCGACAGACAGACATCATCGAAATTTTGTTTGATTCGGATTCCTGTTGCTTCAACAACACGTGTGGGTATTTCCGTCTAAACAGTGGAGGGTCATTTTTTACCCCAACGCAATACCTCCCGTACTAAAGTGTGGGTAGTAAAAAGTACAGATTGTTGGTTTTAGATTTATTCATTTTATTTAAGCTTTCGCTTTCGTCCAAACTACTTTAGTGGTGTGCAAGAAAACATTTCGTTTGAAAATGACTTCTACGGTTTCATATTAAACGATATCTTTATAAATGGAAGAAGAAAAATTCACTATTTGAAAAATGTTAAATTGTAAGCTACCTATTAGTCAAGAAAGTAAGGAAAAGGTTGCAACACCTCAGAAAGTGAAAATTTCGATTATACGAGAAAAGATACGATTTTCAGGAAAAAAACTTGACAATGTATTCACTGCGGTCTTTCTACATTTTCATAGCAAGGAATAATAAGGAACAAGGAATTGTAAGAAAAAACTTCAACTACACCAAAAGATTCTAAATGAAGGGAAACTTGTAAGCAAGCAATTTAGAGTTGTGCGAAAAAGTTGTAATCCCTTAAAAGGATATTAACTGACCCTCTTACGTCCTCATGGCCGGGAAAAATCTACAATTTCCAGGATAAACTTTAATGGGTCGAGAGAATCGTTACAAATTCTAGGAAAAAAGTTAGAATTGTACACTAGTAGTTTAAAATTCCAAGTAAAGGGTCTAAAGGGATCTCTTAAAAACAATATTCACTGCAAATATTCTACACTCTCACATTACGGAATGATAGTAACTAGAATTGCTAGAAAAAAGTACAATTGGAATGCCTGTGTTAGGCAGAAAAATGTAATTAAAGACTAAACGATATCATTTTCGGGTCAGAGCCAGAGAGACTAGCAATTTAGCGAATATAATTATGACAATGAGAGGAAAGCAAAATTGATCTAAGATAATGATGGACAAAATTATGGAAATTAAGGTATAAATATGGAAAACAGAACCGATTTGTGGGAAACAGTGAAAGGGGCTAGCAACAGAGCGCAGGATAACCCAGAAAAGGAAGCAAGGCGTAGACAGTTAGGATGGAGATAATGAACATAGAATGCTTGTCATATATATCAGAAGTATGGAAAACAAATAGGGAGATAAGAAAAAAACCAGAGAACTGCAGAAATAAATTATTAGGGTTGGGTGATTTCACAACCCAACGAGTGGAATAAAACGAGACGAAATGATGAATAAGAAGAAGAATTCAAGTAAAGTAACATTAGCGAATGTATGTAGAAACAAACCAAGTACCTAGGTAAGAGCTCCAACTAACTCACAATACAGAACCTTCAGGTCTTCATCAGATTGAAATTAATTTTTCTTTTTAACTGTAATCCAAGATTCACTGGATTACATTTCGTCATCCTGAATCTTTCCAGTAAGCTTTAAATATAAGAAATTATTGAGATGTGTAAGCACGTCGTTCTGATCTGACATTTTGTCAACTTTTTCAACAAGGAAGCCTTTCATGCAGGAGCTTTTGACTGATACATTTCTTCCAAACGTGTCCACATTTCACGCTATCTAAGGCAATTCCTTACCTGATTGAGTTTGCTCGTGTTGACACACAAAATACTATCCGACCGAGCTTTTTGGTCATTACGTATCCACGCTGCCACGTCAGCTGTGTTTTCCGCAGGCAGCTCAGGTTTTACCATACCTCCGCTGACATTCTCACAAACCCTCCATTGTAAGGATAGAATTGAAATTTCAAACCGTTCCTGAGATAGGTACTTCTAATGGTCCACTTAAAAACACCTAACTCTGTATACGTTAAATTGTTTGAAAAGAAGAGGAAGAATAGAAAGAATTCGTGCTTTTTACACGCGTCTCATTATGATGTTCACATCGGACTTGTATCATTTATAACTAGTTTGACATTTTAATTTCGCAGAACCTGGCTCATATTTCAGCAATTGTATAACCACCTAGCAATTCTATCAAAAACACAACCTCGCTGGAAAGATGGTAAAACGAGTTTCCTCGATTTCTGGAAAACTTACCGTCTTCCGTTCTTGATAATCAATTTTTCTTTTCCGATAAAATGTTCTTTTCAACCAAGGCTATCCAAAAAAAATAACAAGCGTACACGTGTACACCCTAAAAATAAACCGAAAGGTAAGCGCACAGTAGCAAATGGCCCTTCAAAATTTAACCGGAAGTTATTTTGGTATTGCATGGTTGCTTTGGATCCTTTCTTAAACATTCGGAATATGCTTTGCGTGACTTACCATCTACGTATTCTCCTCTCCAACAGAAATAAGAGAACCTTCAAAATAGGCGTGATTCCAGTGCCTGCAGCAAGCAGTAGAAACGTTTCTCGATTGTCTAAACTTTTAAGAGAAAAAGATCCTAGCGAATCCGAAATTTCTAGTACATCGCCCTTTTTTCTCCCGCAGATATAGTTACTCAAAATTCCGTTAGAATAGGACTTTACCATTAAACACAGTTTATCGACGCTCAAACTTTGCGAGTTAAACTTAACAAGAACATTGTTTGGAATTGGCGTGTAGCTGCGAGAGATATCTTGATCTGAAACAAATTTCTTTTACGCGCACTTCATTGCCAAGAACACGTACCTTGCACGGTCAAGAACACCCTTACATGCCTACCAATAGGTACGGTTAATTTAGTATCATCACATCTTTCCAATTCAAGAAAAGATGTGTTGTAATTAACTTCTATTTTATTTACAATTCTGTATCTACATCTTTTGTCTGTCACTTTAATAGAGGCCACTTCAGTCGTCTGTCTTAGTGTCCCGTAAGTGTCCCAAATGCCACTTTGCAACTTTTTAAGTTGCATTTCGACTTTACCCGTTTCATAATTGAGCTTTATCTGGCCAGGCCATTTAATTTCCTTAGTAAATCTAATTTCATTAGCGAATACTTGCCCATCGTAAGTTAAACAAACATTCAAATCATTCGTAGAGTTTGAGGATTGTATCTCAATTTTGGCATTAGATAGCGGACCCGTGTAAAATATCAACGTAATATAATCGGTTTTTTGGACCCAATCGAATTTTGGGCATGGGTTTAATTCTTGGGTGGTTTCTTCAATGTTTATCGGCGTAACTTTGTTTGGAAGTATCACTTTGGAGGGAATGTTTTTTTTCTTGTTGGGCGACTCTTGGCTTCCAAATAACAATTGATGAGTATCCACTTCAGGATCCACCGATACCAACCTTCCTAAATAGCATTTTTGTAAAAGGGATTCGTAATTCACCCAGGCATGTACCTAAAAGAAACGATTTTACAAAGGTTTTATCTAAAGTGTGACTGATACCTCATCAAAAAGTGTAGTGGCATCTTTTCCAATTCCTCTCTGTAACTCCTCTGCTCCACCGGGGTGAAATGGTAAGTAATGGGTGACGTTATAAACTTTTCCTCGTATTGCTAGCCATGCATCGTCCAGTTGATTATGTTGAGCCAACTGGTGGGGTGTAACCTAAAATTTCCGTTACATTTTCGAATCGAACTGTTTAGCGCTCACCGATAGTTGTCCTGCTCGAGCTCCAAATCCAGTGAGGTCCTTTCCCGACGATCCCAGTCGGATCCAGTCCATGAGTGAGTGGCCCGGTTGTAGTGCATGTTTGTTTCGGGGGTTTCCTGCAACGAAGTTATTTATTCAACTTCTAAAGCAAAGCACGAAAGTACGTTAACACCACAGAGAGATTTTTCAGTATTCTAAACCTTTAGCCTTGACATAATGAGACTTTTTAAATTGTAATGTCAGTTCAGAGTTTAAGATTTCAAAGGAAAAAACTCTTGATACCTACTCTCGTTGCAACATTGGGACTGTTGATGAGTCCTCTGAGAACTTCCCCTAACGAGGATGCGGTATAAGCAGAAAACTAGTTATTTCAGAAGGTTTTAGTTATTTGAAACTTGTGGGATATGTAACTTTTGAAACGGTTATAACGCGGTTATATAAGCTATAAGACCCATCTTCTTATACATGACTAATTTCAAAATGACTCATAATCAATCATTACATGCTGCAAACTCAATCATTTACTCTCAATATCTCGTAAGCGACGATAAACGGTACCTATATAGAAATTAATATGCATTAAACTACACCTACTCGCATTATAGGAGTTATAGATGGTTATAAGTAACCGTAACATTATAAAAATACTACTCATTGAAACGAATTGATAAATCCTATTTAAGGATGTTTCAACATTAATTATACCAAATGTTTCAATTTATTCCAAAACACAATATGTAACACAAAATTTTAAAAAATCCCTGAAAAAAATAAAAGCTTACAAAGCCTGTTTACCCGTAGAAACCGAGGTAGAAACTTATAATAGGAAGAGAACCTTAACAAAAAGCCTCGCTGTACTACAGTGCTTCATTTTTTAATTCGAGTTTCAACAAAACTTTTTAGTGGGATTTTGAAAAAAATGTAACGCTTATATATTCACTTTGGCTGTTCAGTCAATCGGTCGGCTGCAACCGTTTTTTAAGTATAACTCGAAGCTTTAGCTTTTTTTAAAGTTCTGTTTTCGTTGATGTCGTACTCCGCTATTTCACGTACCGATCGATACGTGCGTCAAGTTCCTTGCGTCGTATCTTATTGGTGCGTTTACATTTACATTCTTATACGCTTTTCGACCGTCGCGTAAACTAACAGCAATAACCTCGTTTTCTCGTTGTCTCCAGTATTTAAGAATTGAAATATTCTCATATTCGAAATTAAAAGATCTTAAGAAGAAGATTCCTCAAATCTTTTTATGCAACTTTTTAGATAGTGTTTAGCGAGATTTATAAGATCTCTAAAACAAACCCGGAAGACTGCCAAAAAAAATTTTACATTTGCAAAAAGGTGTCAAGTAAAACTGCTAAAAATTTACAAAAAATTCTAGTAAAACACCGATTTTTGAAAATAACTGGTCCTAAAAAATTGTTCAATATATCTAGAAGGATTATTACAAATAACCGTTCTCAAACATTTTTCAAATCAAAGAAATTCGTATTATCTATAGGATCTTCAAGAATTTTAACGAATATTGTCAACGTTTCCGAAAAAATCTTGTCTGAATTTTTAACAAAGTAATTTTATACTCCCGGGAAGATTTGTACTAATGTACATAGTTGACATAAAAGAATTTCTAACAAGATGACTCCAAAAACTGAGATTTTTAGCAAAATTTCAAAAAACTCCAACTCGCATTCTAATGTGAATGGTTTGTAGTGTATTTGTGCATTTCTAGAATTTCTCGACAGCTTTTCAAAAATGTTTCATTTCGTGCTTGTTGTGTATTAAATAAGCGATTCCAATTGCTTTAATAAAGTATTTTGGAATTTTTCATGTGAACCCATTTAATTAAGAATCAGTATAACGAGTATAATCCTGAAGGTATATGCTGGCAGGCGTTTGACTCGGATTGGTCTGCCTGAAACATTGGCGGTTTGTGGTTCAAGAGAAGTTCGATTCAGCATTTCATTAGCTGGCACAGGCACAAGCGAAAAACTGAAAAAATCCGAACATTTTGGCATTTTGGACCTATAAAAATTCCATTCACTTTCGAATACTTTCCAGATAAAAATTGGATATCGATTAAATAAAGGTAAAACTAAATCTGAACGCCAACATGAAAAAAAGTAAAACAAAAACGGCGGGAGTTAAGGTTATTGATAGTCCCCAAACTAAATAAAATAGCCTAGATCTAAAGGAGGAAAATGGATTGTTAGCAGAGAAAGAGCGAAAAGCTCGATTCCCGCAAAGTTTGCCGACAATCGTGAACAATCGCTTCCGTTCGGAAATTATCCTTGAAAGTATACAATTTTCCTTAATTTGTGTATCGAAGCCTTCCTGAACCGACTCAATCTTCGCTATTAGAATTGAGGAAAACCCAAGGGATCGAAATGGGGTTGAAAATTTTTCCCTAAAAAGCTCTTCGGAGATTTCCCGTATTAAGCTTTGACGTGGCAATTTCGATTGTGAACGAATGTAGGAGTCCGTCCGTTAATTTTGTGCACGGAAAAGTCGCAAAATCTCTCCCATGAAAAAAAGATGCGCTGCGGAAATCTCAAATGTGGGCACCTAATCTCATCGAGTAGAGAATTTTCCCGATAACACGAAACCGGACGGTGTTCAAAACACAATATTAAGTGCATTAATTAAAAAAGCAAAAGGAAGTCTTGACGGAGACGTATACATCTTTGAACACAGTATCAATTATTAAATGCTTCAAGACTCATTCAGGACTCTAGCTGGAGCTGCAGTGGTAAATAAATATCGAACTTCAATCAAGAAGTACGGACTCCGGCGTGTGTTTCGGTCAGCTTGTAAAAGCGTATTTTCACATTTGCATTAAATTTTGCGCTTTCGATCTAGAGACAAAATAGGCTTCATGATGTTGTTAAAACTGTGTTCCCTTCAGTGCTTTTTGATAACCTGTTGATGTAATTTAAAACTTTTATGACAAGAAAACTGAAGTTAGCATTCTCACCTATAACTGTACTATAAATCGCGGAATGTCTTGCAAATGTCAGAAAATTTTAGACTTCTGAGTTCCGAGACATGATCACTTTAAAACGGTTGAGTTTTGAGAATTTTTACTCTTTTCAAATAGTGGAGACTTAAGACATTTTTCACATCTTTAAGGCATTTGGTACTTTTGATACTTTTGAGGTTTATGACACGTTTTGAACTTGAAATTTTGATCTGTTGTAAGTACAAGTTGTGTGAGCCATCATACTTATTCCTAAAATTCCTTTTAACTCGATTTAAAAGCCCCGTCTTCTACATAAATGGCTTCTAATAACCCATAATCAATGATTAGACACTAGAAACTAAACGATTTTAGTTTCAATATGTCAAGCCACGGTAATTGGGGTTTGTATGCGATGAGTCATAGAGAACTTAGTTTGAACATAGACTAAAAAAACTAATAGTGCAATTAGTCCATGGTTTGAAACTTTAAAAACATTATTTTTCGTTCAAACGGGGAAAAGTGTGTCAGTGTGTGTGGGAGGGAGGGAGAGAGGGTGCGTGTGTGTGTGTGTGTGTTATTCTGTAATTAAGGCATACGCGCATCGTCAAGCGGTACAAACTCATTAATTATTTGCTTAGATGAACCATAGACATAATAGAAACAAGTGGAAAAAGGCAGAAAAGCGAGCTGAAAAAGCACTTTTTTAAAGTAATATAGAAGTAGGTACATAATAACTATTTTCATAAAAGTTAGGAAAATGACACATTACTGGTGAGGAAACATTGAAGTATTCGGCCCCTTGGGGTCGAGTACTTTAATTTCCGAGTCATGTAGTGTCATTTTACTGTCCAGTTTTGTATTAAATTTTACCCGAAATCCTATTTTAATATAAAATTTCAATTTTTATATAGAACTTTTGATTAATGTCAATCTGTCAGTGATGACAGGAGTCATTATAGACGTTTGGAAATGTCAAAAATGCGGCCGATAAAGTGACGGTGCGGCCAGTAAAGTGACGAGCGGTAGGAAACGTAGTCTGCATTGCCTCTGTCATGGAAACTAAAATTTCTTGACAGAAAGTAGGCATGAAAATGAAGGTTTCAGGACGATTTTGGGTAATAGTTATTCACTTATAATTGCACAAGAGGTTTGTATTTTACCGAGTAAATTTGGGTTGTTTAGGTAATGAAAATCTGTTGCCTAGCAATTAGACGAGAAAAACTGTCAACTGATAAAGATGCGACACCGCAGGTGGAGCATTTTTAGGTTGACAGTTTTTCGAGTTCAATTGCTAAAAGGATACAGATTTGAGTTGCAACAACCCAAATTTACTCGGTTTAAATACAAACCTCGAGTGTAATTCGGCAGGACAATTTAACGAACAAGAAATTCACGAAACTAATCAATTATTGACAGACGTCAAACTAGTCATATGGGAAAGGATAATGCGATAATTGGTTCGAAAATGAATAGTGAAAAAACCACTAGTGCATTTGTCGCTGGAAAAGATGCAGGTAACTTTTGCCGCTGTCAAAGTGACAATTGCACTGCGGCTTATGCGATTTTTTATACATGAGTTGAATTGTCAAAATTAATTTCTTTTAGCACCTGGAGGTCACTCATACATTGAGCTTATTTGTATTTCCTATCAATGCGAAGTATGTTTTGCGAATTAACGTGGTTTGGCCTTTTACTTTACAGGATTGTATCGCCTCAAATCAACATTTACTATATCAAACAGTTCCAAGATTGGGCTACTAGTTCAAAAGTTACAGTTCTTTGAATTTTTTTTCGAAATTGGTTTCTAGTCTGTAACTTTTGATTGAGAAGTCTGATTGAAAAAGTACGAATTGATTTGGATTCTACGCACCCAAATTAATAAGAAAAAGTGTTTTCCCGAGAAATTTTGATCTAGTCGATTTTTGGTAAAAGGGAAGGTTATACACTGCCTTTTTTTGAGGCCCGAAAAACAAATTGTCTCAGATCGACCCGGAAAAAAAATTTTCTTATAGGATTGGTTTCTCTGTATAGGGTAAGTCACGCGGCAAATTTAAAACTGTTAAAGCCTTCAAAGATCAAGTTCTAAATTTCATTTCAAAATCATTTGAAGTATTTTTAAGGGCCATTCAGCATTTTAACTTAACATTTTTATATTCACGGTTTCCGCTGAAATTATTTCTTATCCATCCTTTCGGCTAAAAAATTTGGATTTTCGGAGTAGAACTTCAGCTTTAAAAGTTGTATTTACGACCTGTGCTTGAAATTGTTGTTGAAAATTAAATTTAGGGTTTCAAGTTTGAAGAGTCCAAGGTGTTCCAAATTTCAAAATTACAAGTTTCGATTTCGAATCCTAAACAAAATTTTTGGGCACCTCTCCCCATCCAAATTTTAAAACTGTAGATTCAAATTGAAAGGTCATCTTTCAAACTTCGTCTTTGAAATTGTCTTTCAAGATCGCGGTATTTTCTAGATACTTTCGATCTCCAAATTTTAAGACTTTCAATTGGAAACTTGAAACTACACAACTTGTTGGAAATTTTGCTGCAACCCACATAAGGTCTCTGTCTGCATCCAACACTCTTGCTCCAAGGGCTTCAAGTTAAAGCTATGACTAAGGCTCTTCCTAACTTCGTTTATGTCTCCTTTCGAGGTGGCGCCTACAAATTTCAATTTCGAAATTTGAAACATTTGACTTTCAAGTTCAGAACTAAAATTAATAAAAAAATAATAAAAATAATTAATAAACATGCACTACTGCATGCGTACCTTTCCTAACTGAAATTCTGAATTTCTTTCTTTTTATTTTTTGTACGGTAGGTATTCATATCACGCACGGTGGAGAATATAACATTCCCGACATTGTGTGCTCGATGAGGTTACGAAACGATGTGAAGAAGGCAGAATATGTCACCCTGAAAGTACAAATACATGTTTATAACATCCTTTTTTTAATAAGTAAATGATGTTAAAATGCATAGTAAAATACTTATAAAATACTTATTGAGAAATACTTTCATAAAAGAAAAGAATACAAGAAAGGAACCTTTTTTAGTGTAGATTATCTTTTCAGTGAGTTCCCCAGGGGAGCAAAATACATTCTAGCGAACAAGATTCTGGGGGGAAAAGCTTACAGCAATCTTTTAAGATGTGGCGAGGAATAATTTCTGTAAATGTGGTGTTTGCCTTGCCGAACTATCCAAAAGGCCTACCATTCTTTTCAAGACGAATTTGCTTACAATCTTGGGAAAAAAAACAAATTAGTCTATAATTATTATTAATTATGATTACAGAAAACATATAAAAGGTTACTGAGACTATTACAATTAGTGTAGAGCTTGGAAGAGGAAGCCTAATCAAATAGTTCATGTTGTCAACGCGTTAAATACTTACAAAGTTGCAAGTAACTCGATCAGCATTGAAGACTAATTTAATTTATAAGCAAAAGGGGCTTAACAAATTTAGTTAACCTACTTGAACCGTCAGCAATATCCGCTTTATCCTCTTCTGCAATTTTCCAACAACACGAAAGGCACGGCATAAGAATATCTTAAAAATTCGTTTAGCAGGGAAAAACACGAAATGTTGTTTGCGAACCTTCCACAAGATGAAATTTTAACTTAATTTATTCAACACGCAAAACTTAATTTTGAAAAAGGTTCGTCAAAGGTGTTCATGTTACGTCATATCAGACCGACGCCGAGCGCCGCGATGCGTCAACTGCTCAGCGGCTCTCGGATCTACGTATATATAGAGCAAATTTCGCAGCGGTGATAAGGGAGTACGGAAAAGGTAGAACCACAAGTGGTGTATATCTTTTCATAAATACAGATTATTCCAGGGATTAATACTTCAGCAAATCTTTATATGACTCGTATTATCCCAGCTCCAGTCTTCGCTACTGTGCGTTTTGCAGAGATTTCACGTTATCATGAATATGCGAATCAGCTGTAATTAGAAAGACCTGTTCAGAAATTACCCTAACATTTCTGAAGCTCCTATTGTAAATTACTAGTAAAATGGGTCGAGTTTAAAAAATGTTTAACGAAACGTCTTAGTAACCGCCCAGATTATATTTTTGACACGACACAACCGCTGAAATGTATTAATTGCATTAGGTCTGTAATTACTGCAAGAACTAAATCGGCAAAGTTTACTGAGTGTTCATATACATCACAAGTGTAATAAACTGAGAAACACGTTTAGTTTTATAAAAACCGCAAAAAAGGAACATACCATGGATTAAGTTCACATTGTTCGAATTTTGTAAAGACATGAATTTATCATCAACATTGAAATAGTTAGTTTTTTTTTATTAAACGAAATATTTAAAATTGTGTAACAAAGAAAACAATAACTATAACAAATAAATTTCGTACAACCTAGTCCATGTTGAGAAAGTTAGGAAAGTTGAATTAATCATTTGTATGCCAATGGTAGTTGACGGTAATGAATGTAACCAGGCGGCAGATTCTTTCTCCTTTAGTGCCAGTATTCTAGCTGTATCTACTGGGTCCACAACAGATAAAAACAACGAATTGCAATGGAGCACTTAACGAATAAATGCACATTACATGCTGAACTTAAGAACTAGGTAATACAAAAGGTAAAAACTAAAAAACTTAAACTTGATTATTGGTGAAGCGCATGTGAGGTACCTAAGTGCAAATGCAAAGTGCAAAAAGTACCTATCAAACCTATTTTTCAGGTTTTATACCTACTACAGACAGAACTTAATACCTACTGTAAAACGTCGATTTATTAAGAATCGTCATCGACATCAATACCACTTTCTTTCTGTATATGTCTTGGCAATTTATCTTTGAATATAAAACTTTGCAGGATTTCAAGCAATGTATGTAAACAGAATAGAAGAAAATGTCAGCTTTTCAATGGGGTGGCTACTAGGTATTTGTTTTCCCGTAACGTTTTCTGTATATAAGGCTTATCTTTCAGCATGTATGCGATTGGTCTTTATATATACAGGGTGGTGCCCAGCGCGACGCAGCATAGGGATTTTAATGGTAATTTCTTTATAGTTAATTACTTGCTCCCCTAATCATTTTAGAGCAAAAGTCTAAATACGTTTTTTTAGAGTAGATTATATCACGAGTGACACGAGTCAATAATGATAGCTATTATTCTCGAGGAATATTTACGAACTGAGCCGCATCAGCGGCGAGGGAGTAAAATTCCAATAGTATAATAGCCATTATTGCGAGTAATATACTCTATCTACGACTAATTTAATAACTTGAGATTTTATTCATATTAATCCAAATTACACACAAACAATTACACAACGCGCTTGACGTTTACACTATAGTACACGTAGAGCTATTAATCCCTGGTCATTACTCCCTAAGGGAATAATATATTGCATTATACCAAACAAACCATAGGTATAATAGGCACATTATACACGGTGTTTTTTTTTAAGATGGGCCATACGACAATGTAAAGGCGTTGAGTTATTTAAAATGGGCCATAGGGAAATTTACATTGCATCAAATGTTTCAGTCATAGCTTCCTGGCGAATCATCTGCCACAGTACTCTAGAAATTGTTTCTTAATCAACAAATTTATTCAAATCAGATACAAACGCATGACTACAATCGCGGGAATGCTAGGTCATCACATCACATTATAGGACCGTTTTTCATAAATGCAAACTTAACAGGAGACCGTTTCTTGCAGTGATTGGAAGAGGACATAGGGCCGGCGGTGGCTGAAGTTGCTAGGGACAATCAAAAGATTTGGTTCCAAATGGATGGATGTCCTGCACACAGCAGTCGCGATGTGCGCCAATTTTTAAATCACACTTTTTCCAATAAAGTCATAGGTTCTAATTATACACTTGACTGGTCTGCAAGATCTCCGGATCTTTTATTTATTTATTTATTTATTGTCCCTCTTGTTCTAGGCCCTCAACAGGCTTACGCCCAATTACAGAGTGACCCGCATAATGCTTTTTTAGAGGTGCCCCTGCAGAAGGTCTTAAGTTGTTCTATACTACTCCGGTATTTACCTTACGAATTAGGAAAACTGCAGGAAAACCTAATTCGGAGTAGCCGGCAGAATGCTCGAAACTGATCTAAGGAAATTCCCATCTCTGCCACAGATGAAAAATTCACCTCAAACCAGGTTCGAACACCCGACCTCCGGATTTATACCTCAACGCTCTATACGACTGAGCTATAATGCCGGTTTCACCCAATGATTTTTAACGCATTTTTTAAGAATTAAAAAAATGTGCTATTGTTTGCGTTTTGTCCGTCCGTCCGTCCTTCCGGACCCACTTCTACCGAACTACTTCTAGGGGAATAGTCCTAGGGTCCTGGAATTTTCTACAGTAGGTAGCCTATACCTTGAAGGTGTGACAGACGGCCACCATATTTCGCTGTCTAAAAGGCCCCCCCCCCCACGAATTATTTCCTGAGATGCTGTGTTTGAAAGTAAAACGTCCATAGCTTTTACATACGATAACCAATTGATCTCAGATTTTGCATACGCATGCCTTTAATGATGCTAAGTTAAACTTTAGGAAATGGGGGGGGGGGGGGGGGAACACATGTTATACCTAAAGTCACTAAATATAGAAAGTACCGCAATCCATTGGGCTCGCGTGTTAGAGAGAGAACGCATGATTTTTGCCCAAAAATGGCGGAAGTTACCAGATTCTAGTAACTTTAATGTTAGGGATTGTTCCACCTGTTTGGAGATATCTGTATATATTTTTTATAAAACATGACAGTACTATGAAGTTAGGTTATAAAAAATTACAGCTATTCAGATTTTATTTGTCAATTTTTTTAAGTTGGCAGCAAATTTGCCCAAAAATGGCGGATGATTGCGGTACTTTCTATATCTAGTGACTTTAGTTATACCCTTCATGGTATTCTAATGAAAGGTTTCATCGAAATAAATTGGTTTGTACAAACTATAACTTTCCCGTGCGACTCTTTTTCAAGATCAGTGAGCGACGGGGCCTTGCGGGGGGGGGGGGGGGGGGTTAAAAATTATTTTATCTCTCATTGCATTCTAATTAAAGGTCTCAACGAAAGGAACCGTTTTCTACCAACTACTGCCCTTCTTTCTGTCCTTTTATCAAAGTACGAGGTGGAGGGGGAGTGGAACTAGTTTTATCCTTCATGGTACTCTAACGAAAGGTCTCAACGAAAGGAATTGATTTCTAGCAACCATAGTCCTCCTCCTCGACCTCTCATCGTGATCGATAACTTAATAGTAGATGCGACTGTGATGCGATTAAAATCATTAGGGGAGCTAGTAATTGACTACAAAGAAATTAACATTGAAATCCCTATACTGCGTCGCGCTAGGTACCACTATGTATATTAAATATACGGTACAATTGTACACTGTACAGTGTCTACCAAACAATGTGATTGATGCTGAATCCTATCTATCATGTTTGACCGTTCACTATTGTAAACTATTAATTAAATTTCGCGATAGTACGAATTTGATACGATTCGTTCCGTATAATTTAGCTCTCTCTGGAACAATTTACATACGCCAAAAGATAAGAAATAGATACGAGAAGGGGTCTCTTTTAAGCAAATATAATTACATTAGTTAATTAATGTTTTGATACAGTTGTGTAAAAATGTATGCTAGTGACAAGCTCCACAATCGTAAAGATGAAAGAAAAATTACTTCAATTACTCAAGGAAATGGAAGTGAGATCAACCGCAAATACCGCTGAAATTAGTGAAGCGTCCAGAACAAATGCAAAAGAAAAGAAATGGTCGAAAACGAATACAAAAGCAATTTAAGATCAAGTTCATGCTGTAGAGCAGGAAGTGAAGGAGATCTCAACCCCTACTGACCATTAAAACTGGTCTTTTTTCATTTCGATCAGAACCTAAAGGAACACCTACGGTTAAACGAATTC